CTGGACTGCAAAGTTAATCACTCCCCTCCTTTTGCAACAAAACATCTACCTTTACATTTCCAACCCTCACAATCAGTCCTGATAACAGTTATTCACTATTGTACTACAAGGGACCTAGGCCCTTTCATCAGCCCTGTCCAGACAGATTGGATACTATCTACTCAATGAAAATTCTACTTTCCTCAACGCCCTCTGGATCTAGGTTCCCTCTTGAAAGCTTGTAAGCCAGTCACTTGTTGCCTTTGTAGCCAATGTTCAAGTTGCCCATCCCTGTCTACTCTGTATATGGAGGGGGTGGGAATGATCCTTGCTGTAAAGATTTGTTCCCTCTTTTGAACTACTGTATCCATAGGTGTAGGCCAAGTTCATCAAATTGCATCAGATTACTCTTTTTTTCCTCGTTTCTTCTTATAGTTGAGCTCTGATATCCAATTATTGAAGCCAGGTCAAGTGGGTATTATCTGCAAGTGAGGTAGTTCTTGTGCATATGCCCTCTCTTCTTATCAGCTGGACGCCTCAGTCTCCACTCTAGTTCTTTGTGGCTATGTTATTGACTCTGGGAAAGTCCCCAGGTCTTGCCACACTGCTGGACAACCAGGTCTCCACCTGTGTTCACAGGAGTGTATTGAACGTGGTTGGACTTTGCAAAGAACAAGACACCAGGAATTCATGGAATAAAAACTGAAATCTTTCAAGAAAGTGAGGCAGTATTGCAGGCACTCACTCATCTATGCCAAGAAATCTGGAAGACAACTATCTGGCTGACTGGAAGAGATCCTTATTCCAAAGATAGGTGAACCAACGGAATGCACAAGTCATCAGACAATATCTTTGATATCCCATGAAAATAAAGTTTTACTAAAGGTAATACAGAAACAGCTGCAAGCGTGCATTGACAGAGAACATCCAGAGGTTAAGGCTGGATACAGAAGAAGCCGTTGAACAAGGGATCTCATTGCGGATATCCAGTGGATCTTGGCTGAAAGCAGAGACTACCAGAAAGATGTTTACCTGTGCTTTATTGACTGACTATCCAAAGGCTTTCGATTGTGTGGATCTTGAAAAGCCACGGACAACATTGTGAAGTATGAGTATTCCTGAACACTTAATATGATACAACCTTGCTTGCTGAAAGTGAAGAAGACTTAATAATATTTACTATGAAGATCAAAGAGCACAGCCTTTGGTAGGGATTGCATCTCAATGTAAAGAAAACAAAAATCTTCACCCTGGATCAATAAACAACATTCTTAGCAACGGAGAAAAGATTCAAGTTATCAAAGACTTCATGCTTCTTGGATTAACCATCAACACTCATGGAAGCAGCAGTCAAGAAATCAAATGACATATTGCATTAGGCAAATCTGCTGCACAAGACATTTTTAAAGTGTTGAAGAGCAGTGATGTCAGCTTGAGGA